TGGGACAAGTAAGATTCTAGGTTGGGGGGAGTTGTTAAGTGGTAAAAAGTTGAAATAATTATGCCTTAAATTGTTATGAAACCACTTAACTTATGTTAATTCTAATCTATTTTTCTCCCAATATAAGATGAATTCGAGAATACCTTGATGAAGAGTAAGGAGCATAATTGTCAGCATAATTGTAGTAAAATTGGAAGAAGAAAGAAGATTTTCAGCATGGAAGTTGCTCGAGCGGGATGGACTCTCGCTTGAGCGAATATCAGTTATTCTTCTCTGGAAGTCAGTCGCTCAAGCGCAAGAAAATTCGCTTGAGCGAATGTTAATTATTCTTCTTTAGAGTTCACTCGCTCAAGCGAGCGTTTTGTCGTTTGAGCGAAAATAGGCAACTTTCGCTTGAGCGAAAGTTGTCGCTTGAGCGAAAGGCGCAAAGCCTAAAAGCCCAATTTTTCCTATAAAAAGAGAAGATGTGTTTTGAGAAAAGGAAATGGTTTTGAGGGGAAGAGGCGCAACTACTACTAGGGTTTCGTCCAATCTTCATCAATCCTTCACTTCTTCCACATTTGAAGCATTGTAATGGTCAACATGAGTGACTAACTTCATTCTCTTGGGATTGGGTGCACTTCCTTTGAACTCTTTTGTATCATGGTGATATTTATAGATATTAATCTATGTTTTGATGTTGTTATTCTTATCCTTTGTGATTTGGAATAAATTATTCTTTATGTTTGGGATATGATTGGAAAATATATCTTAAACCTTAGATCACGGTAATAATATTTGTTAGGTTAATTGTCAGGAATGGAATGAATGTATCAATTGCTTAACACCCTAAACCTAATGCTGGAAAATATCTTAATTGTGTGAGGAATCAACATTTATTAGGTTTTCTTATGAATTTCATGTGTGAGGAATCAACATGGATGATTTGAGTAGGTGGCATCAACATTGTTAGGTTAATTGATATTCTTAATTGACATAACCATTACAAAAGAGGGATAAGGAAGGAAACCAATCCTAAGTGTCTTTAATTGATATTTTCTCAACAATTTACAGTTCTTTGTCATTTAATTTCAATTCAACTCTTTATGCAAAACTCAATTTGTTTTAATCTACTTAATAAGCATATAATTGGGAATTTTCATTGAAACTGTTCCTCGTGGGATCAACTTTTATTTAATCGAAATAATATACTGCAATTGATAATTTTGGTACGCTTGCCACCCATACTCAGCCACATATAATCCGGGTTGGACAGACCACCCCAACTTGAATATGGTCCTGGCTACACCCAACCACCAAAACTTCATTTCCAACCGAGCAACCAAGGCCACCAACAACAAAAGTATCAACCTCCCTTGATGAGACAACAGCTGAATTAACACCTTATGTCATTACAGCCAAGCCAAAGTATACTATTCAACAGGGTAACTCTAGGACGCACTAGAAGATTTAATAAAGCAACTCACACAACAGATGATAATGCAAAGTACACGAATTACACAACTAAAGAAAGCACATGATGAACAATTTTAATGACTTGCAAACCCAAATTGGACAATTGGCCACTACCATGAATTCACTATAGCAGTAAGGTGTGAATGCACTTCCCTTGTAAACAGTGATTAATCCGAGGGAGAATGTAAGCGCAATCATATTGAGAAGTGGTTGAGAAATTCAAATGGACCAAAAGAAACCTCACATAGCAGAAAAGTCAAGCTTCATTGATCCATCTGAAGAGAAGACAGAACCCACCAACAATAAGCCAAACACTCAAATGTTGAAAAAGCTGGATACGCCACCTGATACAACTCGAGAAGTAATTGTACCATTTCCCTCCAGAGTACCACCCTCTTCCAAGAAGCTGGAAACAGATCAGGAGTTGCTCAATACATTTAAAAAGGTAGAAATTAACATACCACTGTTAGATGTCATCAAACAGATTTCTAGGTATGCTAAGTTGTAGAAGGAGTTTTGCACGTATAAAAGGGGCCTAAGGAAGAAGCAACCACAAGTCATCTCATCACTATCTCAAGCTACTCTTCCATAGAAATGTGATGACCTAGGGACCTTTATTATTCCCTGCACTATTGGAAAGCTCCACATAGCCAATGCTTTATTAGATCTGGGAGCATCAATCAATGTAATGCCTTTATCCATCTACAAGACATTACACTTGGGTGAAATAAAGCCCACTAGCATGACTATCCAGTTAGCTAACCGAAGCTTGGCCAAGCCGCTAGGGGTATTGGAGGACATACTTGTCAAAGTGAATAAGCTAATCTTTCCAGCAGACTTTAACATCATGAACATGCATGACGAAGGCCTTCCGCACAAACCAACATTAATTCTAGGAAGACCATTCTTAATGACTGTCAGATCAAAGATAGATGTACATACTGACACGATGACACTAGCGTTTGGAGAGGAAGTTGTAACATTTAGTATTTTTGAGGTCATAAGACACCCAGCTAAGACCCACTCTATGTTCAGTGAGAAAGAGTTATTCTTGATGAGCACATGTTCAGTTGAATGTCGAGGGGAAGGAGAGATTGGACTAGACATTGATTTTGACCATGATCAGCTCTTAGAATTTTTGAACTTAAATCAAGAGGAGCTACATGAATATGAATATACGGATGAAAGTTGCACCATTAACTCTTGTTTTTTTTTTTCGAAGTCCAGACAACTATTGAAGCATCTCAACCAAGCTCAGCAAAAGTTCTACCCAAAGGGGAAAAGAATAAAGTCCTCCCACCAGATGATCTGAGTTGTTACTTGATGATGTTGACACCTGTACCATTAAAGGATATAGACCTAGGAGCCGAGCTGTTTTAGCTCGTTGTCATTTTCATTAGCATTTGCATAACATAAATTCTTCACATTGAGGGTAATGTGGATTTCAAAAGTGGGGAGTATTTGCATTTCATGCATAAGGTTTCATTCATATTTTTTGTTTTAATGTTGTAGATTAATAGGAGGCTACTTTGGAAAAGATGATCGACTTGATCAGGAAAAAGATTTCAAAGTTTAAAAGGTTTGATTCACATAGGAAGTCATGGTCGGGTTACATTAACATTGGTTTGGATTAATTTTCAGGGTGAACAAAGCACCCAGGTGAGTTTTGAGCCCATGACATGACAACCTTCCAGAACTAGATTAATTTCTTTGTAACATCAGATGAGCATATACACTAGTAGATATGATTTAGACCTTCTTTGTTTTAGCTACTTAGCCAAATATGCTACCCTTACCTCCGTTGAACCCACCTTTTGAGCCTTAGCCTTTTCTTGAATTTAAACCCGAGAATTAAAGTCATTCCAACGCAAAAATTACTCACACCCGGACATAAAGGAAAATAAGGAGTGTAAAATCATTACAAAAATCAAGTTCTACTCACCGCCAACAAGTCAAAAAAAAAAAAAAAGTGTCAAAGTATCAAGGAAAAGAAAAGAAAAAGAAAATCATTTTTTTTGTGTCAAAACAATAAAAAAAACTCTAAAGACACTCGATATTAAGATAACAAATACCATAATTCAATTATATATTATAATAATACCATAATTCAAGATGATACAAAATTTTATCATCTTCTTACATCACGTCCTATCAAAAATGAAAATTTTTTCATTAAAATTTTGGGTTCAAATATGCATTACAATAATTTTAATTAAAATATAAAATAATTCTATATTATATTAAAATATAATTTATTTTATATATAATTAAATTATATTTTAAAAATAATATGTGAAAATGTTTTAAAACAAAATAACAAGTAAATTTTTCTAAGGATTTAGTTTGTTTACTGTATTTAAAAACAGTTTTAAGATTAAAGTTATTTTTATATGATAACAGTTTTGCTAAAACAGTTTTTTTTTAAACTAGAAAATAAAAAATGTTTTGTATTTTTTTATTAATAGGTATAAACGTTTTCACCGATAATTATACTAAATAATTTATTTTTATACGCTATTAATTTTTTCAATTTCTGTTATGATTTTTTTATCTCTATTATTCTTTTTTTTATTTAAAATAGTTTTTCTTAAATAAAATTATCAAATATTTTTTAATTTATTTTTAGAAATAGTTTTTCAAAATTAATCTCTAAAATTATTTTAAAAACTAAAAAATTAAATTAATTAAAAAATTTCACCATATAATTTTTGAAAATAATTTTAATTTTTCAGATTATTTTTTGTTTTAAATAAATTCTTAAATATTTTTGTTAAAATTAATCTTTATATACTAATTAAAATTATATTTTAATAATAATATTTAAAAGGAAATAATTATAAAAAATTAAAATTATTTCATAGATTTTATTTAATTTATTTAAATTTTAGAATTAAATTGATATTTTTATACTCTTTAAAGGTTGAATCATTCTTTTTAGATGTGGATATATATATATAAACAAAGTTGTTGGATGGATTTGTCTCTTTTTTTTCTGTCTTCTTATATATAAAGATTCTTTCGACTGACATTATTGCACATGTGACTCAGTTTGACCTTTATTGATAATTGGACGATGCACCTATGTGAATTCCAACAATCTTATGATGGAACACATATCACATACTCTTTTTCCATTAAAAATTGTGATTATGTCCTTAACTTAAATGTTAATTTCCATCTATTCCTATACCAAATCATTTAATTTTCAGAACACTTTTTGGTAGGCCTTGGTTCTTGGGGAAACAAGAAAAACTAAATATAACTTATTTACCTGAGGCAAACCTCGTTTAAAAAATGTGATATAACTTACGAATCCCTTTAAAAAAAAAGAAAATAAATTAAGTCTTAAAAAAGTTTAAAACCATCCTAGATCCTTAGGTAATAATCTAACATATTTTCACTGTTATTGTGAGGAACTAAAAGTATAAAACAAAACTCTTATCACGTATTTGTATTTTAAATTGTAGATGAAAAGACTAGTCCAAGCATATCTTACTGAGGCAACATGGTTTCATCACAACCACACACCGACAGTGGAGGAGTACATGGAAGTTGCGACAACGTCATGTGGTTTGGCTATGTTGACAACTGTATCTTTCTTGGGCATGGACGACACAACAGAGGAGGTCCTCATATGGGCAACGAGTGACCCTAAACTTTTTGTAGCTGCTTCAACTATTAGTAGGCTCATCGATGACATTGTTGGAAGTGAGGTACATATTAGACACCCATTGCTTTATATTTTAGTTGTTAGGATTCATGTTAAATTTTTTTCTGCAATATTATCAGTTTGAGCAAGAAAGAGGACACGTTGTCTCGATCCTCGATTGCTATGTGAAGCAACACAATACCTCAAGGCAAAACGCCATTAAAGAACTGCTTGAGTTGGTTGAGAGTGCTTGGAAGGACATTAATTAACAATGCCTTAATCCTACTAAACTTCCAACCACTTTTCTTATGCGTGCTATAAACCTTACACGCCTGGTGGATGTGCTTTACAAAGATGAGGATTGTTACACAAACTCAAGGAGGAATAATGAAGGATTACATCAAAGCTTTATTAGTTGATAAGATCCCAACACAAATAAGCTAAAATCCTATTTCTTTTACTTTACTATAGCTAATAAGATGTATACAGGAGTCAACTAAATTATATATTTTATCTATTATTGATGTATTCTTTAATTTAGTAATATTATATGATTATTTATCTTTAGCCTAATTATCTGTTGAATTATTGACAACCGTATCAAAATTATCAATCACAGTATAGTATTTTAATTAAATAAAAGTCGATCCCACGAGGAACGGTTTCAATGAAAATTCCCAATTATATGCTTATTAAGTGGATTAAAGCAAAAGATGTTGTTCATAAAGAGTTGCAATGAAAATAAAATGACAAAGAACAGTAAAGTGTTTCGAAAAGATCAATTAAAAACACTTAGGATTGACTTCCTTCCTTTTCCCTCTTTTGCAATGATAATATTCAATTAAGATCATCAATTAACCTAACAATGTTGATGTCACCTACTCAATTCATCCATGTTGATTCCTCACACATGAAATTTATAAGAAAACCTAATAAATGTTGATTCTTCACATACTTAAGAGATTATTCTGTTGGAAAAATTTGGGTCATGTATATATATGATACATAATTTAAATGTGTTAGGGCCATTATTTATTAAGCCAAATAATAAAGTGATCTGACTAAATTAAAGTTTTGGCTAAAAGCATATGTCATGAAAATAAAATTGTGTAGAGACCATAGAAGCAATTTCTAATTTGATGAGTGGCCAAATTGGAAATACTAAAACTTAAGTAATTAACCTAATTCGGTTATCTAAAGGGGTCATGGTCCCCTTCGAGAGCACATACACGAACGTAAGTATCGGTCCCATTCCTTTCTTTCTATCCCCATCAAGAGAGAAAATCAAGAGGAAATACGAGTGCTTCTTCGGTGGAAGACCATAAGATCAATATAGTGCTCTACAAAGACATCATCGTTATTGCTAATTCGAGTACGCTTTAGCATTCAGCTTACAGACATGTTTATCGAGTATGGGATTATGTTTATGTTTGATTGTTAGAATCAAAATCGGGATTATTATTATTGTTATTGTTTTTTCCAACAATTGGTATCGAGTCGCCCATATTTGATTCATGTCTGTTTAATTTATAGAACCCTAATTATGAAAATTAGGATTAATTTTGTTTTAAACAATTCAGATTACCCAATTTTATGAACCCTAAGTGGAGGATAATCTCTAATTTTTGTGAACCCTAAAATTTAAATTTGGGGGTAACATCCCCAATCTGATTCTCGCTTGCTGATGGAACCGTGGAGGAAGCTATGGATTCTTCTTCTTCTTCGTTTTTCACTTTTGTTTCAGTTTAAGTTTCAAGTTTTACTCGAGAAAGAAATAGTGTTTCGTATTTCATTTTTCTTGTATTGGGTTCTCTGTTCTTTTTTGAATCTTTTGTTTTTATTTAACTTTATGGGTTTGGAATTGGGGTGGTGTTTGTGGAGTTCCCAATACGGAGAATCTTAGGTAAATGATGAATGTTTCCACATGTTTGGTTGTTATTATTTTATTGCCTCTATCCCCTAGGAATTTAAGGAAAATTTGATGTTAAATTAGGGTCCGAGTGATTACTCGTTTAATTCCCTTTTAGGGTTTAGAGCAAGTATGCTAAAGAGACTCGAACTATCTACTGTTTCATCCCTAGTGTGATTTTAGGAAGATGTTCATCCTTTATGTATTGGTGGAAAATGAGGCCTTTTTTCATCCTTTGATTTGTTCAAATGAGGTGTTCATCCCTAATGAGATTCTAGGGAGGTGTTCATCCTTAGTAGAATTATAATGAGGTGGTTCTCTTTTGAATTAGTTTGCAAATATTAAATATTTGGTTTTGTTATATAAATAAAATATTCAATTTTTGGTAGTTTAATATTTTTTGTGAGCAAATTGAGTCAAGAAGTCACCAAAGTAACTTCTCTTGAATTGGGCAGTTCATGAAAAATATTGAATGTTAGTGTTTGTGTATATTCATGCGAGTATTAGTCGACCCAAAGGAAGATTAATATTTGGCCGAATTGCATACACACTTGTAATGATAAACATGTGATAATTATAAGGATTTGCTTTGTCGATGATAAATCAATCCAAAGACCTGGTTTGTTGTTGGACGTGCTTTATTGTCAATGTTTGATTATTACAACAAGATACCTCTAGCAGTTAATATTATCGTCCAAAGACTTGATATTGATGGTGCATTGAGTATCTTGAGATGGGTTAAACCACTATTTGAATATATATTATTTATTTTTTATATAATGTGAGCATAATTAGTTTATTTCTTTTGTTCTAATCCAGTTACAATTGCTTCTGTATCTGCCAATTTAAATTATGTTTCGATCCTCAAAAGTATGTTTCCTACGTTGGTCCGTTCAAGTCAATTTAGCGTCAAGTACCTAGTAACACTTGGTGGTTAGACTCAGTGCAACTACTAACATCGGTGTTTCTATAAAGGGTTGCTTAAGCTACCGGAAGCCAATTGATTCTGAAAGATGGATTTATGTTGGAGATGGCAAATCGGTAGAGGTGGAAGCTATAAGTCATTTTAAATTATTATTAAGTACTCGATTTTTTATTTGGATTTGAAAGACACTTTTGTTATGCCGTCATTTAGACTGAATTTGGTTTCGGTTTCTTATTTGGACAAATTAGGTTATTTATGTTCATTTGGAAACAATACGTTCAGTTTGTCTTTTAATTCAGATATTGTTGGAACTAGTTCACTTTTAATTTATGATAATCAGTATTTACTTGATATTGTGGCCACCTATAATGAAACCCTTAATACAGAATCATGTGGTACTAAACGTAAAATTGAAAATACTCACTCAAGTGCATTATGGCACAAGTGCTCAGGTAACATCAAATTGTAACGTTTGGGCTTGTGTTACACTCTTAAAGATATGGTAGAGAGTATGATTTGTCATTCCACCTTACTCGGAATCACTTTGGGGAGAGACATTAAATATGACAACTTATATTCTAAACAGAGTACCAACTAAAGCAACTACCAAAACATCTTATGAGCTTTGGATCGAGCGACGACCTAGTCTCGAAGCATTTCCATGTGTGGGGTTGTCCAACTGAGGCAAGGCCTTATAAGCCAAATGAAAAGAAATTGGACTCCGAACAGTAAGTAGTTATTTTATTGGTTATGCTTGAAAGATCCAGGGGATATAAATTTTATGATCCCACATTAAAGACAATTTTTGAGACTGGAACTGCTACGTTTTTCGAGGATATTGAGTTTGGGGGAAGAATAAAATCGGGAACTTTGTCTTAGAGGAAGAATCGGTAACAATTCCGAACCGATTCAAACAGTTACTTTTGATAAAGTAAGTTCTGAACCTCCACAAGGCATTGTTGATGAACCCTCACTCAAGATGATTTGGTTGTTCATGAAGAACAAACTCAAGATCCTCAAGAACCTGTGCATCATGAGCTAATAACTTTGCGAGAGATCCACTAGAGAAAGAAGAAGTGCTATTTCTGGATGATTACATGGTATTTCTTCGAGAACATGAGGAAAATAATGATATAATGGAAGATGACCCAGTTAACTTCCGTCAAGCTATATAAGGTTCTAAATCTCAAAAGTGGATTGAAGCAATAGGATAAGTATAAGTCCATGCAAGACAATAAGGTTATTGGGAACTTGTCCCATTACCGAAGGTATGAAACTCATTTGGCTTCAAGATGAATATTGTTGATGATTGTATGTATCACAAGTTTAAAGGGAGACAAGTTTAGTCTCAATCAGTGCCCAAAGGGAATTTGGAAATTGAGGAAATGCAAAAGATTCCCTATGCATCAGTTGTAGGGAGTTTAATGTATGCCCAAGTATGTACGCGTCCAGACATAGCATACATAGTTGGGGTTCTAGGCAGATATTTAAGCAATCTAGGAATAGACCATTGAAAAGCAGCAAAAAGGGTCATAAGATATTTAAAGAGAACAAAAGATTATATGCTCACATATAGGATGTCGGACCAGTTGGAGATCGGCTGGATTTTCCGACTCATATTTTGCGAGGATGTCAAGAATTTGTAGCATGCTATGAGGCATCAAATCATGGAATATGGCCGAGAAATTTTGTCACGTGGTCGCAAATTGTGAAAGGCATTGAAAGACCACTTAAGTTATATTGTGACAATAAATTAGCTGTATTGTTAAGGAAAGAGTACAAAGTGGACTGATTTCCATAGAACACTTAAGGACAAACTCCATGATAGCATATCCTCTAACTAAAGGACTTCCGCCTAAGGTCTTTCATGAGCATGTTGCTCACATAGATGTTTTACAGTTTGAGGAATTTGTGGTTTAGTGGGAGTTAGTCATTTTCATATATTTTATGTTCTATGTTTAATTTTATATATGTATACATTGTTTTTTGGACATATTTGGTTATCTATAGATATGCGGTTTTCTTGTTCATTCATTACACTTTGCACATTAAGGTTATTGTATCGATCTCGATAAATTAAAGTTTGGACCAGTTGAAAATAGACGTGTACAGATCACCTTCACGTAATTTTTCATGCTACACATTTCATGATGAATCCATGTCATTTGGTTATGTTAGGATGAGTAATCATTGTTGGTTTTAGTTGCGATGATGCAATGAAAAGTCTGGTTTGGTTCTATATCCTAATATGATTAATGGACAGGACTTTTGGAGTATGCTAAAGGAATATAATGGCACTTTTGAGCTCATAAAGTCTAACACATTTGTAAGGTTGTAAGGACATATATATTTGTGACCGAGTGGGAGATTGTTGGAAAAATTTGGGTCATGTATATATATGATACATAATTTAAATGTGTTAGGGCCATTATTTA